TCACTTTGGCGATACAAACCGAGAGCCATCAAGATGCCTGCACCTTGTGGCCCAGCGCCCTCCCTCAGGGGAGTTTACTGAGAGGAAAGTGTGGAACAGAAGAGAAAGGATGGGGCTCCTAAAAGAGGTGATTTAGTGTGGTGGCGTGCACGCAACGCACGGCCTATGTGGAGGCTGGTCACATCAAGGGGACCCACAAATCACAGCTTGTGTGAGAAAGCCCATCTATCAGCACACCAAGGCAGTGAGTGCCCTCGTCGTGAGCCCGAACCCACAGTTGGGGGTGGCCCCAGGGCCAGGGGTATTACCGATGACTTTGTTCAATTTTCCTTTAATAAAGTCAAAACACTTTTAAAACAAACAGCAATAAAGTGAGTAAATAACGGGATCCAGATGCAGCTGGTGTTTTCGTCCCTGGTGGCTCTGGAGAAGCCCAGCTCCTGCGTCGGTGCACAGTGGGATAAAGGTGCTTCAGAAGCGTGGCCAGTTGCCACGCCCTGGGCTGGGGAAGGAGGACTCCCTGACAGTAGCTCTGGGGGCGAGAGCAGCCATCTTGGGGGCTTGCATGGGACCCTGGGCCATGGTGACTGGCTTGCAGAGGGCTGGGAGGGGGTCTCCTCTCTGGTCAATGGTAGCAGCGTCTGGCCCCGGGGACAGGGCATCACAGACTTTGGAGCTGTCTGTGGCTGCAACACAAGTTTCCCTCCCTTCTCGTGACCGCAGCTGGAAGCTTCGCCATGGTGCTTAGCCCTGCTGCTTGTGCTTTGGCTCTGATATGATTGGGATTTACATGGGGGCATGTGGTCCTTCAGCAATCCGGGGAACAGCCTCCCCAAGGAGCCGAGGAGCAGGCCCCGGCCGGGTGCCCACAGAAGGCTTGCTCCCTGGGGGCACGGGGACACAGGCCCAGCCCAGAAACAGCTACAGAAGGAGGCCAGCCTGGCCTGGAACGTGGGAAAAGCTCTGAGCAGGAGGCTCCACCTGCCCAGGGGACACGCAGGGCTTCCCTGCAGGCACAGCCCTGAGCCAGGATCTGCAGACCCAGGCCCTGGTAGCTCGGCCCTGGACTGTCCATGGTTTTGCTGTCACAGCTGACAGGCCTCTGGAGTCCCCTGAATCTGACAGCTCCGTGCACACAGGGGACACCAGCCTGAAGAGTGAAGGATCTCACACAAGCCCAGAATCCGGTGCTCCCACAGCTCAGGCAGAGCTGTGGGAGTGGCATGGGGGGCAGGCCCTGAGTTTGGGGGTACGTAGCTCAGGGAGCAGACTGCCACTGGCCACAGGAGCCTTGACGTGGCTTTGTCTTTGCGGGATATGGGACAGCAAGGCAGCGGCGCACAGGTGCAGGGGGAGGGGGTCGTGAGGGCCCTGGCTCCTTAGAAGCATCTCCGTGGCTTCTGCCAAAGGCCCCCACTCCGCCTCGACACTTCCCTCCGAGCAGCGTCACTGTTTCAGGCAACGGGCTCCAGCTCAACGCTGTTACGCGCGAGGGGCAACTGTGCCTCAGAAGGGGAGAAGTGGTCCGAGGCCACACAGCTCAGCACCAGATCTCCACTTCCATGGCTCTTTCTAGCACATAGCAGCGGCCATAGCGGCACCTCTTTACCCTCTAGGACCCTCCCAAAAGACATGAAGGCTACAGAATATGCCCACACCCCACACTGCCTGCCGCCCCCTGTCCTGCACTCCAGGGCTATGGCCAGTGACCAACCAACACCCTTCAAATGCTGGAGCTGCTTAGGCATCCTCTTTATTGGGATTTCACAAGTGCTGGTGGGAGTCCCCAGGCCGAGGGCTGTGGGGGAGGGGTGGCAGTCCCAGAGGCAGCCGGGGAGCAAGTGAGTTCTGGCATAAACGAGATCTTGGGGAGACTCCTGTGTTCGGGTGTTGGCAGTGCTGGGGGACTGGTGTGCTCCTCTTAGCCGAAGACACTCTTGGCGGGTCCGGCTTTGGGCTTCTCAAAGACGGTTTCAGTGCCGGTCCGGGAGCGGCTGAACACCGATGGGGCGGCCACACCAGCTTGCTCTGCAAGGAGGATGGGAGCGGGTGTGCTCAGGGGCCCAGCCCAGCTTCCTCAGGAAGGAAGGTCCCTCTTTTGGGTAGCAACCCCTGAGCCCAGAAGCTCTGGACTCTTGGAAAGGACCCATTGACCCCCCATCCTCCCCACCACTGCTGACACACATCTGCGTCCCCCACGCCAGCACCCCCCCAGCAACCCCCACCCCAGCACCCTGAGAACACTCACCACACTCCTTCATGACCTGGTAGGTCTTGGACTTGATCGCCTGGTCCTTGGCCAGGTTCCCTCGGGCCCCCTTCAGGTCCTCCTCCTTCATGGGGGGGCGCTTCTTCTTGATGGGGGCTTCCTGAGGGCCAGCCTTGGAGAGTCCAGAGCTTCATCTTACAACCTGAGGCCTTCGGGCTGAGATACCCCCCCTTCCCACCTCTGTGCCTCAGCTCTGAGACCCCTCTTCCCTGCTCAGTGAAGTCAAGCCAATTCAAGGCCCCCTTCTTCCAGTAAGCCTTTCTGACTATACATTACCCCGTGACCTCTCACCCAAGTCCCTCTGACCTTTCCAGACTGGGAGCTGTGATGCTGTGGCTGCTGTGGCCTCACTCTGTCTGCCTGGCCAAGCTCAAGCTTGGGCACGATGGGCAAAGGGAGCAGTTTTGAGGCCGAATTACGACTTTTGGTGAATACCAAGATCTGCTCTCTGGGTGGTAGCGGGGGTCCCTTAGGTATTTCTGCTCTCCTCCCAGATTGCCAGGATTTATCTCGTGTGCTTTGGGTGGAATGTGGTGGAGCAATCAGATGCTCATGAAGTCACAGTCCAGAGTCAGCATCTGCCCGTGGAGCAGGCAGTAAGGACAACCCTCCCCTTAGCAGGCTGGTCTCCTCCAGAGCTGGGATACCTGGACTCAGGGCCCACTCTCCCCCTCAACCCCAGGTGCCCAGGAGTCTGAGGCCTTACTGCTTCCTAAGCCCTAGAGGCAGGGGCAAAGGCTCCCCGGTCCCAGAGCTTAGGCTGGGACCCTGGGCCACACAGCCCTGCACAGATACATCCTGCTGGAGACATGGGGCACGGAGCTGTACACCTCACACATGTACACACACACAGCTACTAACGCACACACCAAGTCACGCAGGCAGCCCCCTCACACATAGAGGCACACACAGAGATTCTGAAGCACACACAGCTCCTCCAGCCCTCCCGGCCAGCCACGGGCTGCCACTAAACCCAAGCTACATACGGGTCTCTCGGGGTAAGCTGGGTGGAGCGCTCTCCCCTCCAAGCCCTGTTTATGCTTGGAACTCAGCTCGAGACACACCATGTCCAGCTATCCACCCACCCCCTACCCCCAACCCGCGCTGGGCCCCCTACCTGGGACATGGTGGGTGCTGTGGGAGAGCTGCTCCAAAGGCCCCTCTGGCAGGCCGGTGCCGGTGGGAGAGATCTGAGCGGTGTCCAGCCCTCTGGAGCTTATATAGCCCGCTTGCCAGTCCTGGGAAGTCACTCCCCCTGCTCCGACAGGCTTCCTTATGATTCAGGTCCACACGGCCACTGGCTTCAGTGTTTATTCTCGGAGATGTTAGGGGCTCGCTGAGCACTTCTGCCCAGGAGGCTGCAGCGCTGGTGACACAGACAGCTGCTCTGCTTTCAAGTGGGAGGTGCTGGGACTGGCAGTGACTTGTGTGTTTATGAATGTAGGTCCTGGAATGTGTGTGTGGTAGTAGAAGTTGTCCATCTGCAACAGTCCGTCCCAGTGTGGGGGTGTCCCTGAGGGAGGGTCCAGGGCCAGGATGGACTACATTCAACTTGTTTTTCTCCTTTCTACCCCTTCCCTGGGTTCCAGGGAAAAGAGACTTTCCATCCTGCCCAGGAGCAGGGTGGGAGCTTCCTGTGTCTGCCTCGTGAGCTTTGCTCACTGCGAGCTCCCTGGGCCCTCATGGCGGGCTCAGAGCACCGGGTACCCCTGGTTCACAGTTGGAGAAACCGCAGCCAAGGGAAGCCTGGGGCACTCTCCGTCCATGGCTGGGTGCTGATGTCACTGTCCTTTGTCTCACTCCCAGTGCACATTTAGCAAAGGGACGAAGAAGGCAGGGGGTAAAGTGTCCAGGAAGGACCAGGAGGAGACCGTGCTTTGTGTAAAGGGGAGCTGATTACAGGAAACAGCACTGAACCTCTGACTAAGGTAAGGTCACCAGGCCTGAGGACACTTAGGATGCTGAAAGACGGTGATGGGGGGAGAAGTGAAGACCTTTGCAGGTATTGAGCTGTAGAGGGACAGGCCCAAGGGCTCCCTTGAAGGTCACTTAGTTCTCCACTGCCGGCTTCTAAAACCCCTATCCTTGCAGGGAAGACCCCCGGCAGGACCTTAAGCCTGGGGTGGGCGTGGGCAGTACATGTGAGATTCTCTTTATCCTCGAAGGCTCTGTGCAGACCGAACCCAACCAGGGCACTGACATCTGGTTATCCTGAATGCTATTCCACTGCAGTCACACCTCAAACCCCACCCAAACCACCCCCTGCCCGGTCCTGTCCCCAGGAGGCCAATGCGAAGACTGCCAGGCTCCATCCGAGACAAGTGCTGACATGAGGAATGTTCTCCCATGGACTCGGGCATAAACCCAGGACTCCAAATGGGGGCCAAGAGGCACTGAGGGCAGGCCTGGACTGTGAGGGCCCCGCGAGGGAGGGCCCAGCTCCCAGGATGAGGGAGCTGCCCCTCAGCTGGCCCTGCCCAGGCAGGCACCTGCCTTCTTGCCCTGTGGCCTCAGGGACAAGCATGCGGGACGTTTACTTCTCGCACTCCCTCTCCCAGCGCTACTTGCTCCCCAGGGGATTAGAGCCGCTTTTACTCACATCAGCCGGGAAGAGGAATTGGTAAGAACGTGTTCGGTTTTTTCTAAGCAGATTTGGTTCCCACGTCTGCTGGGAGGCAACGTGAGGCCCCCCCGCTCTGTGCCCTAGGGAGCACCTTCCAACCCCCTGGGGAGGTTTTCCTGACACCACCAAACTGTTCCGACTCCAGAGAACACACACCAACAAGCACAAAAGTGATCGTTTCTTTTTTAAAAAAAAGCTGTAATAAGATGTCAAACTTTATTGTAAACCATTTTACAGTGTAAGTACATCGTCTTCCCTTTCATTTCAAAAATGTGTTTCTGTGAATCGTACCACCACCAATTCAACACCCTCCTAGGCAGACAGTGGAAGTAGGCCATGGTTTTTGCTCACATACGTCTGACTTCTAATAAACTTCACGAAAACAGAAATCAAATTAAACCAACCCACCCACCCAGCGCCTCACGGTACCAACACTTGGACCGGAAGTCCCTCACCAAGGACAAAGCCCTTCAGGCTGCCCCGGTTTCCCAGGGTAGGACAGGAGCCCTGCCTGCAGCTCGAAGTGCGGGAGACTCACAGAGGGTGGCCCTACACCTCACGGAGGGGCTGCTGCTCCGGCAGACAGGAAGCTCCCGGCATCACTACGCTGGCCCGGCCACAGGGAGGCCAGCGACCTGCTGTCAGCAGGGCCCCGTGGGCTGCAGTCCTGGGGCACCTTTCGTCGGGGACGCCGGACAGCAGCCGACAGGCCTGTACCACTGAGGGGAAGACACGAGGGGGATCGGAGCCCTTCTGTGTTTTCCCTTCAGAGGCGTGATGTACCAGCACTAACCCAGGACTCCCACTGCCAGGAAGGGGCACAAGTTGAAGCTTGAGGCGGGAGCCCACCGTGTGCCCGAGGGCTTCAGCGCACAGGTCTTCTGGCTGAATGGACCACGAAGCCATTGCTACCCGGGGTCCCACCGACATCCCTCCTTAACCACTGTCCACATCCCACTGACAGCAAAAGGAAGAGCCACAATCATCTCTTCCATTCAGCCGTGATAGTTCTGCCTCTTCAGGTTATTTCCATTAGTTACAAGAAATTTATTCATGACCTTAACTTACAAGTTTCCATCATGGGTGGCTTAGCCAAGGTCCAGATTCTGACAAACGAGATGGGCAGTGAACAATATCCAGTCGGGGTCCTATGGTTTCTCAAGCACAGTGATGCTCGCCACGTGGCTGAGTGAGGAGCTGCACCTCGTAAGGCACCTTGGAGCAGGTGGTGCGGAAGTTCGCCGGGGGGGGGGCAGCTCCGGAGAAGTCCTGACAGGCCCCCAGCTTCCGCCCTCTCTGGGCAGTGTGCCACAAAAAAGACCCAGTGGCACAGGACACACTCCCAGGGAATACGAACTCTGTGCTGTGTGTGTGCGTGTGCGCGGGTGCACGGACTCAGGAGGAGGCCACCCTGTCCGGCCCCACAGTGCACAGGCCCTCGATGGGCAGGTACCGTCGAGTTAGCCAGCTACACAGCCACAGCTCAGTGACTACAGCCCTTGCTGAACATCAGGACACAGGGAACCACCACTAACTCGTAACTTCTTTGTCCACTAAACCCATTTCCCAGCAGGTACTGGGACAAGCCTTGAGGTGAGCAGATCACCTGAGGTCCCTGTAACCCAGGTCCCCTATTTCACAGACTATAGCTCCCTGACCCCATCTGCAGTTTGGAAACATCAGGGGATCGAGACTGAAAATGAAGCTCCGATTCTGAGTTCAGGAAGGGGCTCAAGACAAACAGCTGTGGGCACAGGTTGTTCAAGAAATCGGAGCGACAAGGAGAGTCAGCCAGGCCACAAGGGGCTGGTCTTCCCAATGCCGCTTCTCTGGTGGAGACACCCACCGATGCAGCCAGAGCATGGGAGGGGTGAAGGGCGCGAAGTGGGAGAGGAGGTGATGTGAGGGAGGAGATGGACTCCAGTCTCACAGGAGGCACCACCCGGCCTCGCCTCTTCGCTCCAGTCGCAGACGCTCACCGAGCAGTCGCCTCCCACCGCGGTTACAGGGCCCGGCCCCTCTCAGCCCCTCTGGCTTGTGGACTCCTAGAGAGGGTGGACGGAGAAGGCCTCCCCCAGGCAGACCCCCATGTCCCAGGCTCGTGACAGGCGGAGGCCAGGCCCAGCATGCCTCGGTGAGCAGCTTGGCTCAACGCCACAATTCAGACTCAATCTTCTTAAGAGAAACACATTTTTATGTAGGTCTAAAAATAAGGTTCTGGGTGGTGTGGCCTCCCCACCCATCTCCTTCGCAGCTCACACTCAGCAGTGCGGGTTTCTGTGCCTCGGGCTGTGACGGCCTGGGTGCCCCGCCGTGCTGTTTCCACAGCAGGGCCAGTGTCCAGCCAGCCCACTCCCTGCCCGTCGGCCGACGCCCACAGCCACGGGGGCCTCTGCCCAGGCTGAGTGGGGGCCGCTCCCCAAGGACGGGACACGGCTTAGGAGCACCTGGTGCCGGCTGTGGACGCAGCCACACCACAGCCCTGGAGTACGTGACAAACAGGACGACTTGGTCAAGCAGGTGTTCTCCAGACTCTTGTGCAAAATAAAGGTGGAGGCGATAACAGGCCTGGGGCAGCCTGACCCGGAGCTGGGTCAGGAAGCTGGCTCTGAAGGCTGCACAGTGGGAGGCGGGAGGCCGAGATGACATTTTAAACTGCAGATTTGGAGGCTCTGACGACAGGCAGGGAACAAACAGAAGTGGCCTCACAGTCGCAATTTCTCTAGACAAAAAGACCTCTTAGACTCTTCTCTGTGTCCCGTTTAACTAGGACGTCTGCCCAGTCGGCAGAAACGCCAAGGAGCGGCCGGGCCCTGGCGTGCACACGACTCTGGGTCCGAGTTTGACCCCCTGCTCCGCTCAGGCCTGACCTTCACTGCGCCAGGGGCCGCTGACTTCAGGTGAGGGCGGATCTCCCTTCGTGCTGGGCTCACCGCCTCACCTTACCACAGGTTACCTAACGGTGCTCCAGACAAGCAGCTCTCGGCTTTGTCCTCCCCCCAGTTCACATCCCACCAAAGGCAAACAAACCCATTTCTTTGGGAATTAAAAAGTTTTTAAATAGAATAGTATGAAAATATAACTTAAAAATATAAAAGTCAACAGCATACGGAAGACTTAAAAATCTGTTTTGCCCATTAGTCCCATAGGAAATAAACACATACTCAAAAAACATTAACACTGTGACAGCTCATAAAACTGACTTTAGAAATCAATAATAGTTATAAAAGCTACTTCGAGTAAGAAAGCATTGTGGTTCCAACTTCGTCAGTGAGTGACTTTAGCCCAAAACATGTTTCATCTTCACTCCCCAAGCCTTTGGAGAAGGCTGTCTGCACAATCTGTGTGCATGCGTGTGTTTCTCCTCAGTGCCACCCTGCCAGACACAGGACAGGGCTCCTGGGTCCCTTCCAACACCGTCGGGATGACGGCACGCGCACACACACACACACACACACACACACACACACGAAACGCCCTGCTTGCATATTTGGTCAGTGTTCATAGTGCAACTGAGTGGAGACCTCCAACTGCCGCGCCCCTGGGCGCCGGCTCTCCTGCCCTCTCTCAAGTCGCGGTCGTCTGGGAGCGGGCAGAGACAGCGAGGGCACGGAGGTAGACGAGGAGGAGCAGAGAGGGGAGCGGGGAATGACCCTGCAGAGTGACCGTCATCTGCCGCTGGCGGCAGGCCGGGCCCAGACCTGACCCAGCACAGGACCGTGTCATACGGGCAGCCCGAAGCGGTGCTTCTTCTTCTTCGCAGGCTTCAGGGGCGTCAGTCGGCGGAGGTCCTCCTCCGTGTCCGACTCCTCCATCTCGTCATCAGCTGAGATCAGGATCTGAGGCAGCGGAGAGGCATGTCCCTGAGTCACCAGTGGTGCCACCTTCCTCTGCCCTCCCCGGACCCCGGCAGGGGGTGCCAGCCCCTCCACGAGGCCCCGGTCTCATATTTCTGTAGAAGAGCGTGACGGGGAGCCGCCCTTTCCGGAAAGACACGCCGGCCCCTCTGGATCCCATCCGTGGCCACTGAAACCCGCACGGAGTCCACACACCCTGCCCCCTGCCGGTGCTCCCCACTTCTCCACCCAACCTCCAGCTGGGACTGAACCCAGTTAGAGCAAACTCAGCAAGCACGCACAGCCCAATCTTGACAGATGGAGGCCCAGGCCCTGGAGGCTGCCTCCAATTCAGCAAAGGCAAAGCGAAAAGCCCCTTTCAGAAGGAAAAGCGCCCGTCTGTGGGGCACACCTATGCAGGGGCGCTCTGCCTTTGTGAGCCCCTGAATGACTGGGCCCTGCAGGCAGGGTGCCCAGGGGCACCCACGCTCATTCACAGCCCACCTGCCTGGCCCCTCAGGCCTCTGCACACCCCGGAAGCACGGGACAGCCCGTAGGGATGGAGAGTCCCGTGCACCCCTACGTGTGGGACTCCTCCTCCAGGCTGGGCCAGTCCCGCCACCTCCCCCTGGGCCTCTCCCTTGCAGTGTTTCCTGCCTCCAGCTTCGGCCCCCGGAATCCAACAGTCTCTGCGGCTCCCCACCACCCGCACAAGCACGCCCGGTCCCTCAGCCTGGATCACAGAGCGCCTGGCCCACCTAGCTCAGGCCTTCGCCCCCTGCTTATTTTTTGTTATTCTATCCTATCTTCTGGAACACACGCAGCTCTGGCCATGACGAATTTTACATTATTACCCGAACCCCAAATCACATGACCATGATTGATCCGGAGCAGCTGCTTCTGCCTGTGACGCTGTCATTCACCTCGTGTTCACTAAGCTCTTACAACACGCCTGGCCCCAGGCCAGGTTCTAGGTTCTAGGACAGGTTCCCCGTCCTACCACCTATTCATTCAGCTTTCAAAACGCCCTCTTGTGCCCCAGGAGAGAAGCAGACTGCCCCAGCGTCCTCGCAGGGTTCGGCCGAGGCCTCGTCTCAGAACACAGTTATGAGGGGCTCCTCAGGCATCCCCTTCTCCTCGTCCGCAAGTATGAAGGCCTCTTGGGGAGACAGTCTCTCGGCCGTTCTGAAGGCCCCTCACAGCGAACTGGGCAGCAACCACGGAAGCTTAACAAGGGCACTGAGGGGGTGGGATAGAAGTGCAACATGCTGCCGGCTGCCCAGGACATGCAGCCTGGCCTCATGCTCCTGTTTACGACCAGGAGTCTCCCTGAAGTCCAAACCTTTAAGTTAAGAAACGTGAAAATGAGAGGAGATGAGGCTTCCCCTGGGACATCTGGCTACCCCTACGTTTCAGAGGTTTCCAGCTGCCTCAGCCAACACTTCCCTTGCTCATTAGTGGTGGGCAGGGATTCAAACACCTCAGTGCTTAAAGGTTAACGGTCAGGCCCACGAGTCCTTGCCAGCTTCCCTGGGAAAAGGTGGCTCCTCCCTTTCCTGTCTGTCTCCACTGGTTTAGGGGATGTAGCAGGAAGCCTCTCACATCCCCCAGGTGCACCACCCCCTGCTCTGGGGAAGGCCCGTGGACAGCAGGGATGGGTCTAGACTGGTTGGGGTCTGCCTGCCTTGTCTCCCTGCCCCGGGCTGGCATGAGACACGAGGCCAGAGGCCTCCTCAGGGCAGCAGCACGAGGGCCCAGCCCTACCTCAGACTCCGACTCCTCGTGGGACGCGGCCCTTCGGTAGCGGACCTTGCTCCCGTTCCTCGAGTCTTGGTTGGCTCCCCTTTCTTCCAGTTTAGCTTTCGTCCTCCCCTTTCTCATGAGGAAATTGTCCACTACCCAAAACATCAGAGCCTGTGGGGAGGAAAAGTGCAAATTACTCTGGGATAGGCCCCTTACGAAAGCACGCAGAGTAGCCCCCAGGTCCCCACCCTTCCCGATTACAACACCTGAACTAGGGAAAGAAAAAACGTGCCCGGTCCCCCTGCCATCTCTCAGAAGCTTCAGAAAAGATTCCTAACCTCTATTTCCTTAGCTTTCTTATCAGAGAAAATCCTGCCTTGCCTACCCCAAGGATTGCACGGTGGTGATTGACGGGATAAGCCTGCCTCAGCCCTCGCGCAGCCACTGGCAGAACTGGACCTGGAACCAAGGCCTCCGGGCTCCTGGTCCCACTCCGGCCGGGCAGGTCCACCGGCACACACTGCCACATCTGTCAAACTCAGGTTCCCCTACGGTTTCCTCTCTTACTTCGTAACTTCTAGCCAGTGTGCTCATGAGCTTCTCTCAGAACTCTGTGGTCAAGAATGGATGACGGGGTGCGACCCCGACAACCCCGATCCGGGAGCCACTGTGACACAAGGTGGGACTCCCAGCAGAAGGCTGCGGGCAGGGAAGGCAAGACTCGCTGCCAGAGGCCCCGGAGCAGGGGTCTGCCTGGTGAGGAAGCAACCCTGCCATTTCTGGGTCTGGGGTCGGGTGGGGAGGTGGCAAATGCTCACACAGAGGGACCTGAGAGCTGTAAGGTGTTTTTTCTGTCAGACTCAGAACTGTGAACAGGAACCAGAAGGCAGGGAGCAAACTGGGGTTAAAAATGCAACATGGCACTGACGTTGACAAAGAAGGGGACGATCAGCATGACGATGGCCAGTTTCAGGTCTGGGTTTTCAATAGGATTCAGTAGGGCCACCTGGAAGGAGAAGCAGAGCAGTGAGGTGGGGGAAGGGCGCAGGGAAAGTGCCCGGAAGGAGGGGCAGAGGCAAACCCCCCACGAGGCCCTGAGGGGGGGCTCGGCTTAGACATTCACCCCAGCACCTCGCACCCAGGACTGTGCAGTCCCCAGGTCTGGCTGCTAGGAAGGACCCCCTTGGAGACCACCCGGAGCAGTTAGTGAGAGCTTCAGTGGCTTTCCCTGCGGTGCAGACGTGGGGACTGAGGTCACTACAAAGTCTGGTGATAAGGACTCAGACCACTTTCTAACAGAAATCCTATACCCCAACCACCTCCTGAAGGACAATAGCCCTAAAAAGCCTCGGTTTATTTTCCTAAAAAATAAAACCCAGCCACAAATAAAACCAAAGGACGGCCAAGCTACTTGTTTCCAACGCCCCTCAGCCTGGGGTCATGTGGGCGTGTGGAGGGGGCGGGCAGTGGAGGCCTGTCTGCGCGGTGCGGGGGCTGGGGCAGATGGCGGGCCGAGGCGTCTGGGGAGTCGCCTGTGACCAGCTGCTGCCTATGGCACCCAAAGGCTAGGCTGAAGCAGTGGCCTAGAGAGGTATGTGAAGAAGACACCTGCAAATGTAAAGAACACCTGCCTGGCATTTACAGTTGCAAGGCATGAGGGTTAGTACTGGACAGGGCTGTATTTTCATTGGACTTATATATTCCCTTTGCTTAATCTAGAGTGGACACTTGTGTTACTGAAGTGGATGGTGTAAAAAACTAATTACTCTCTTGGCAGGTACCCAATAGCTGCCACATCAGACCAACCCCACTTTGTTTACGTGGAGTTAAAAAACAAAACAAATGAAGAGATCACAAAGTTGGTTTTCCACCAGGGCTGAGGTTGGGGGAGTGGAAAGGGGAAAGTGCTGCCTTAGCATCCCAAGGAGCCACTGAAGGAAAGACGAGAGGCAAACCTTTTTCCACTGAAGTATGAGAAGGACGATGAAGACGACAGACTTTTCAAAGACCATGATCACGATGTAGAGAGCACACTGCCCGGCCCAGGCGCCGCACTGCACAGGGTCTCCTGCAGGGGAGGGCACCCAGTCACACGCAGCTTGGACTGGGCTGGACACGGGCCGGCCCCGCCCCACCTCCACAGGCCCGGGGGGGCCTGCGCTCCCCCGCCCCACACCACAGCCCTGGCTCCACAGCTGCTGAACGAGCCCCCAAAGCACCGAGAATCAGCTCAGCCCGGGCAGACTAATGTGGGTGGGTATTTTAAAGAAAATCAGAAAATTCCTAATTTGGAGATACCAGAGTGGCTTTTCTTTCCAGAGATTCTAAGATATAATCAAAAAGCACTAAAGTTAGTAAGCGCCTATTGCTGGCGCTCAGAAGAGCTGGTGCTTTTTGTCCGCTGGCAGCAGAAGCTGTGTTAAGCAAGACTGCTATTATTACCCACTGTTGGTTTTTCCATTGACCGTGCTGCTGTCCACCCTCCCCCACCAGGGAGCGGCCAATGTTTCTGAATTATGAAGGCAGCAACAACCTCCTTGTTCACCCCCGCCTTCCTGCTGCCTCAGCCCTGAAAGCAGGAATCTGACTCTGGAGGAATTCAGATTCTGTCTCGGGTAGAGCCCCCCAAAACACCTTGGACTGGGGGACAAGAAAAGTCCTTAAGGCAAGGAGTGATGGGCTGTGCCTCGGGGTGGACAAAGGTCTACCTGTGATCCCGTCAGTCACTATGCTTCAGAAACGGAGGCACCCACCAGCTCACGCTGAGGGACGCCAGGCCCTGAAGTGCGTCCAGAATGTTTCAAAAGGGACTTGATGAGGGGTGGAGGACCAGCCCTCCAGGGAAAGGTCTGCATCCTTAGTGACAGGAAGAACCCCCCGGGACGGTGTCTCTGGGGGGCAACACACATCTCCTTAATGGTATATCCAGGGGGGAGAGTGGAGGTTGCTGGGGCTATCTGACCACAGCTGGCCAGAAGAGGGGGTGCACAGTAACATTCAGGGCAGGCAAAGGCCCCAAACAGGCCGGGAAGAGAATACGGCCCTGAGAGAAGTCTCCGGCTGCTGCTCTGCTGCTCTAGCCGGCCCCACCAGGCCCCAGTGCCGCGCCGCCGGCCCTGCCAGAGCCTGCTACTGCACCCAGTGGGAGCAGCAGGAATGCCTTCAGGCAGTGGTAAGGGCCACACCAGGCCGTTCCCTTCTGTGGAAAACCTCGGGGGAAGTGCGCAGAACGCACGCAGGGAGGCATCGCTGCTCCCTCTGAGGCCATCCTATGTTCATGTCTAGGATAACACGCATTTGAGCCAACAAGTCATTTCAGAAGCACGATCTCTCCTAGCTAGATTTTCGGTGGCATTTTGTAGCTCTTTCAGTAAACTATCTGACCTCACTGAGAAAAGTTCTCAAAAACAACAGATCAAAATATTTGTTAAAAACTGTTACGTAAGTTTGGGGACAGACAGAGAGTACTGGTAGGAAGTACTCAGGAATCAGGACTGGCGTGTTCCCGAGCCAACAGACCGAGTGGCGACACTTCTTCACCACCGAAAGGAAGCCTGCGTGTGCAGAGCGTGTCCGCCCCATCTGCTCTTCATTGTGAGGGGCTGCCAAAAGAGGAAATGTTTCCCCCGTGTGCCTCCAGACTGCTGAGTTTCAGAGCCACAACTCAGCTGCAGCTGCCTCTTCTTTCGTTTTGATGCTTTAATAAGGAAGTTAAGAGGAAAAAAAACACGGTGAAAAAAGAAAAAAAACCAAGCGTCACCCACTCCCGCCCATCACTCCCTCCTGTGCATTCAGACCACACGTCAGGACCGCTGGAATGAACGCACAGGTGCTGGTTTTTCTCATTTCCGTCCCATGTGAGAGTCTTCTGTTCCCCGAGGTCTCATCTTTTAAGGTCAAATAAGCCAGGCATTCTTGCTGCGTCCGCTTCTTACCACATGGATGCCCTCGGGTGCACGGGAGCTTCCTTTTGTTGAATTATTTCCTCAGGATAAATCGCAGGAACAGAAGCTGAAGGGAGGGAGCACGTCTGTGTCCAGACAGGCTTCTGAGGGCAGTGTCAGGACAGGGGCGGGCAGCCGGCCTGCAGACCACGGTGCCCTCGGGACACCGCCCTGCCTCCAGGGCTTGTGCTTGGGGACGAGCAGCCTGTCTTCACACCGCAGACACCACGTGCCGCCTGGATCCCGTCCTGCCCCTCAGGGCTGTGTGGCATCCCCAAGTCCCACGTTCTTGTTAGCGGGTCCACCTCCTCTTCTAGGGACCACGGAAGCCCTAGAACACACTCCCCTCTCCTTCATTTACCTGAGAAGAGAGCTATGGGGCCTACATAGGATTATTGCCTCCGCAGATGACTTGGTTAACAGGTGTGGCAGGTAGCGTAATGGCCCCACAGAGAGAGCCACACATGAGTCCCCAGAACCTGTGGATGTGTCTGGTAACACAGCAGTGGGACAGAGGGGAATGAAGGTTGCTAGTCTGCTGACTCTAAGACAGGGAGAGTCTCCTGGAGTATCCGAGGAGAGCCCAAGGTCATGACAAGGCACTTCAAGTAGAAAGAGGAGGTAGAAGGCCAGGGCGACACGATGGAAGAGGAACTCAACCCGCTTTTGCTGGCCCTGGGGCTGGAGGAAGGCACCACGAGCCAAGGAACACAGGCAGGCTTAGAGGTGGCAAAGGCAAGAAACGGCTTCTGCCCTTTGAGACTCCAGAAGGAACCAGTCCTGCTGACACCCTGATTTTAGTCCATGAGACCCATATCAGACCTCTGAATTACAGAACTGTAAGATAATCAATTTGTGCTGTTTGAAACCACTAATTTTGTGATAAATTAATTTGTTATAGCAAATAAAATTATTTGGAAACAAAAGAAATCGGTGTCACCCACCAATTAGAAATAAAAATCAGGTAACTGGGGATGCACACTACCCTTCTTCAACCCAGGGTGAGAACCCGGGATGGTCCCTGATAAAGGGCAGCTTCATCAGAGGCACCCCGTCTCGGGGTGCCAATGGCAGAGGCAGATGGCCCAAGGGCAGGGGCCCAGGCAGGTCCGACAGCTAAGGGGAAGGTGGCATGGAAATAAGACAAACAACCGCTGCCTTCTGCCTTTCAATCTACTCTTGGGGACGTGGAGAAAACACACTGGGAGTGGATGGGTTTACGCTGCTGGTGTATTAGGACCAGACCTGATCTCCACTCCCAGGTCACCCACCGGCGTGCAAACCGGCTGTGGGGTGGACTTCCCTCAGCACTGGTCAGCTACAGGCAAGTTGAAAGATCCCTTCCAGACGGGATCTTAACAGCAAAGAAGTTGTGAACACTGTTTTGGGAGGTGATGGGGGGATTAGGAACCCAGTGCAGCAGCCATGAGCAACCTCTACCCCGCCACGCCGGGCTGTGCACTGGCTGAGCGAGCCTCCTGCGTCATTCAGCCACTCTGGGCGCCTCTCCGGTAAACAAGGATGATGCCGCTGTGGTCCGTTTCTGTCCTCTGAGCTGAGGAGTCAGTGACTCGGAGCTTCCCAGGAGCCTCCCTGGAGCCACAGGAGCACATGCTGTGTGTCAAACACTATCTTAAGTCAGTGACTCATCAGGCATCAAGTGACGAGGCTAAGAAAAGCCCTCCCTGAGCTCATCTCCCCTCAGTGGAGACAGACAACTACTAAAATTTCTAGAAATACCTCAGGCACTCACAGCTGGCTCCAGCAATCGGCTCCCTTTTACACACGTCAGTCCCTGATGAGTGTTCCACCACGTAGGAGTGAGCAGCCCTCGGGCCCAAGACAGGAGGAGAGGGGGGAGCCGGAATTCCACCCGCTCTCCTTCCCTCTTGACCGGCGTGTACCTTTCTTGGCAAAGGTTCCACTCGTGCTGCTCCCACTGAGAAACAGCCCCATCCTGCAGGCAGCAGGGCCAGCTGTGAAGGTGGGAGAGAGCTGCTGTCCCCCTAAACCCTGAGGCCGGAATCACCAGGTGATGGCAAGGCCCAGAGACGGCACCTCTCACTGGCAGCCCTGCTGAGGCCACCTCTGGCCATTTTTCTGGGAGGACAGAGTAGAAGGTGCTGCACCTGTGCGTAGAACCAGCATGCAGGCAGCTTCCTACCCCAGCTGTATTCCACGAGGTCTGACCAGATGTGCGGGGTCAAAGCTGGGCCAGCATCCGTAAGTTGCTTAAGTTCTACCTCTGTGAGTGAATAAAATAATAAAATGGCCCAAACACAGGACAAGCCCAGACACGCAGTACGGAGGGGCAGCTTCCTACCGAGCACCTCCCAGACCAAGAGTCACCCCCATCTCTCTAACGAGGTGGGCAGCTCGGTGGAGTTAGGTGGCCTCGTGACCTTGTAGGCGGGGCCGACAATGCCCTCCGGTGGAAGAGGCAACGTTGCTCCCCTCCCTGCATCTAGGGTGCCTCCTGCTACCAAGGCAGGAGCCAGAGTGGCGAGGCTCGCATCTGCAGGCCTTGGACGGGGGCACTTTGACACGAGCAGGAGGATGGCGCTCAGGCCCCAGAACCAGCGCCCTCACTACAGAAGAGACACCCACCAGCACCTGAACCTTCTCTGAATCATGGGCCCGGGGGGCTGTGCAGAGCAAGGAGCAGCGCTCCCTCCAGGAATCCCCGTCCACGCCCCATCCAGTGTCCGTGGTACGTTACCATACTCGCCAAAACGCAGGGACTCCCACTGCTGCCACTCCACCAGGATGCTGACGGCGCGCACACCTGCGTAGATGAGCAGCATGCCCACGGTGGCGTCTAGGAGGAAGTTGATGAGGTACCTGTGAGGAGAGGGCACAGCGGCAGGATCAGGGAGCACCTCCAGGAAGCAAGAGCCCCTGAGTCAGGCCCCGTGTGCTTACCAATGCCAAGGTCAGGGCTGACGACCGACACTTTGTTTGGCCGTGTTTGGGGTGAGTGGGGAGCGCAGGGGCAGAGGGCCTGCGATATGCCTGTGCAAAAGGCTGCAGTGCTCACCTCTGGGAGGTATTGCCAAGCAGTATGTGGACACTCTTCAGGGGCTGGACAACTTACGGAGGGGCACAGGAGAAAGAGAAAGAAACTTGGAAGACCACAAGTGTTCCTGCCCAAAGACGACGCGACACAAGACGGAGTGCCCGGAAGCAGCCACGGAAGTCAGCAGGGAAACGGAACTGATGAAAAGATCTGCTCCATGGCAGTTCATGCCCTGAAGGTCCCCCTAAGGCCCCCCTCAGTGGCCGCACCACAGCAGCTCAGGGAGTGGCCTGGGCTTTTAGACCAAAGAGGGTGGAGCCGCACAGCCTTCACTCATCCCTGTGCTTCCAAGCCTGCCATGGAAACGAGTGCAGGTCAGTATCTTTAAAGAGAGAAATTTACTTCCCACGGAAAAGGCACGATCACGGAGGAAGGGGAGGAGGAGAGGCAGAAGCGCATGCCCACCACGACTGTGTGTTCTCGTAAGGTCTGTTTCCACCTGACACGCACCTCTTTCCTCACCAAGGAAAGGGCTCTGGCCCACTGCCCCCCGCTCCTGAGAGCCCTGTACCAGGATGCTGAGGCTTGAGGCATTTTATGCAGAGTCAGCCCCCACCCCATGGCCCGGGCTTTGACGAGGGGCCTTAGCCCTCAGATATCAGAGGGTGCACACTCTGCTCTGTAGGGTCAGGGACCTGGAGTGGCGAGAAAACCAAAGGGAGGGACAGCACTTTCTCCCGCCTGCCCTTCCCCTTTGAAATCACAAGGGGTCACTCTCAGACCAGAGATGGAAGGAATAGCAACTGCTTTCACATAGTTTCTCCACGTTCAAGGGCTGAGCTCTGGCCCCAGGCTATGCTGGCTCAGATACTTACATCTAATTGGTTTCCAGTGGTTCTCACATTTGAGCCCCAGCCTAACACACAGACAGGCATACCTCAGTTTATTGTGCTTTACAGATGTTTCTTTTCATTTTACAAATGAAGGCAAGATCTTCCACTAGCAAGATTACTGCTCACTTTATTGTGATATTTGCTTTGTTGTGACGGAACCTGCAAACCTCAGGTATGCCAGCACCTGTGTTAGTTAGTTCACTCATTCTCCCACCAAATATTTACCTGAGCCTACAGTGTGCTGGGGCCCTGGGGATAAAGAGACTCCGAACCCAGCACAGGTGAGATGCCACGGCAGACAGTTCAGTATCATATGGGCCCAGGGGCCAGACTGGCTGAGTTCAAATCCCAGCTCCATCGCTTGTTAGTTGTCAGCTATATAATTTCTCTGTGCCTCAGTTCCCCAACTACAAATGAGGATAATCCGCCCACCAGTGTTGCAGGGCTGTTTGAGGATCAAATGACTCAATAAATGTAGACAGCTCCTGCAACACAGGAAGCAAACACTATACAACTGTGTTCTCAGAATCACGGATCCTCAGAGTCACTGAACCCTGGATGTCACAAGGCTCATCTGGCACCCAAAGCAGAGTTCCCAGCACAGAGGCCCCGAGGCCACAGGAAGCAGCTCCTCCCCCTCTGTTTGTACGTTTCTCCTCTTCTAGGTCTGCAGACTCCCGGGATGCCCCGGGTCCAACACAACCTCACTCCATCTGTAAAAAGTCACAGAGCAGGGCAGTGGTGGGGCTGAACAGGTCCCAGTCGGCACCTGTCCTTCCTCAAGGAGCAGGGCCACTCACAGCGCCCTATGCTCCCTCGTCTCCTCCTCTCCCCCACCCCCCTCAAGCACCTCCTGAACCAGCTGCTGGAGGCTCTGGTGTCTCTCCAAAGTTTTAATGACAATGTCCTCCAACTGAACTACTGCCGTCGTCGTTGGGAAGTGCCCCTGCTGTTTTCAACGGCACTGTACTCATCATCTGACGAGACCTTCGGAGCGGTCCCGAGGACCTGGCAGGGCACACGGAGCAGAGAAGAACCCGAGGCTCAGAGACTTAAGCCACCTTCCCACAGTGTGGCCTCTCGGTCACCAGCCAGGTCTATCGGGAACCCTTCCCCTCCAGGCCCAGCGCTCACGACCTGTCAACAGCTTCTTCCCCATCCTGGCTGTGACGCAGGGGGTCAATGTTCTGCTTCAAGCTGTATCATTCATATCTCTCTTTCTTTTTTTTTATTAAAGATTTTATCCATTTATCTTTAGAGGGGAAGGGAAGGAGAGAGGGAGAGAAATATCAATGTATGGTTGCTTCTGGTGCATCCCCTGCTGGGAACTGGCCTGCAACTCAGGCATGTGCCCTGACTGGGAATTGAACCGCAATCCCTTAGTATGCAGGCCCATGTTCAATCCACTGAGCTACAGCAGCCAGGGCTCTCTTTCTTTAGATATTATTTATTTATTTTTAAAGAGAGGGGAAAGGAGGATGAGACAGAGAGAAACATAGATAGGTTGCCTCTTGCATATCCCCAACCGGTGACCTGGCCTGCAACCTAGGTCTATGCCCTGACTGGGAATCGAACTAGCGACCTTTTCATTTACGGGATGACACCTAACCCACTGAGCCACACCAGCCAGGGTTGTAACCATCTTCCTTCTGTAGATGCAAGAAGCTTGATGTAGCCAAGGCCACACCAGGAACTAGGCTTTCTTGCCCCAGCGCCTCTGGGTGCAGAGCTGGCTCTCAGACTACCTCGGCCAGTGACCTCAAGATGATTCACCAGATGACATGAGCTTGCTGCTGGGCTCAAGGGCTGGAAGGACAAGGCGCCTTCCTAACCATCTCCCCTGTGAGATCATCACCCTTCCAGTCCCCGCTTTAGGGTTGGACACAAACATTCGAACAGATCACAATCTATCCAGGTCTTACTTAAGGGGAGACCCTGGGGAGGGAGACCTCACAACTTCTTACTTAAGTCTAGACCTAGACCAAATCTCAGAACTGTACACTCTCACCCAAAAAGAGAAGCTTAGAATCTTCCAGTCCAAGTGATCTTAAATACATAAGAGACCTCTTGGCAAGGGACTCGCCAGCCCTCTGCCCCACTCTCCTACAGGGGCAGGGCTGGGGGGGGTGGGGCATTTCAGGGGGAGGGAGGTGGACAAAGGCACAGGGGCAGGACACCATGGGCAGGTCTGAGAGCCACCAGGAGTAGCCCGCCATGGCTGAAGTGCTGAGTCTGAGCCAGGAAGGTGGAAGATGGGGTCGGGGTAAGTTAGGTGAGCCTCCTCTTCCACTCCATCTGCTAAGCTAGGCGCCGTTTGGGGCTGTCAGCAGGGGGCACCGCGTACCATGGCCCAGCTAGGGTTTCAGGCAGGTTGGTCTGGGGGCGTGTGGAAGGCACACTGCCCTGACAGGACGGGACAACTCCCGGTCTTAGGGTCAAGAGGTCAGTGACAGTCAACAGTGGCTCTAACCCTGAGTGGCTGACACCACATAGAAGCCCCGCGAGTCTGCTCCGAGTCTGCTCCGGCAGAGACAGACGCTCCTTCAGGGCATTATACTGCCCAGCCAGCGGCTGCTTTGAAGCTGGAGACATAAGGGTACTAGCAAACCAAGAAACAGAACTCTGATTGGCTGGCAGGAAGCCAGCACACAGGGCCACTGTCACCAGGTGTCTGAGCTCAGAGGCAGCACACACAGTATGGTTTCTCGGAGGAGCACAGAGGACAAAGGCAAGCCACCCCACCCCCGAGCCTAGGAACAGGGCCTCGGCAGAGAGCCCGGCCAGCCTCCATTCTCGCCCGTGGGGCGGGGTGTTTGTGCTCAGACTGGAACCACTTACAGGGAACAAGGGTCCTCTTCGGTGAGGTCTGCTAGGTACACATTTGCAAAGTGGATGAACAGCATTCCTATGGCTTGTTTGGAAGTGTCTAGAAACCTGTACAAAATAGAATCAGCACTTGTGAACACACCGACAGGAGGGTGGTACTCAATGTGGGGAAAATGTTACACTTGAAGTAGAAAAACGCCACCGAGCGACCCCAGCCTCCCATCACCAGCCACCTGTCCCCGGGCTTCCGTACTGCTGTTTCACCACGTATAATGCGCACACACATTTTTGACCCAAACTGTCAGGAAAAAAATCTTCCGTTTTAATTTTTTAGTTCAGTTTTTATTTATTTATATTTAGATACTTGTTTTTTGTATTATAAAGGAATTTTAACATTTATTTTTGAACATACTATGGTACAAAAAATTTTATGTAACAAATAATTATAAAACACGTGAACAGACACAAGGTACTTCAGGTACCACCCACGTATAATGCGCATCCTTATTTTTCCCTCAAAAATTTAGGCAAAAAAGTGCACATGATACAGGGCAAAATACAGGTAATTCAGGCTTGGCATTTCAGCTACCTTTCAAAACCTTCAATAACATTGCATTAAAATCCCTGAAAGACCACTGATTAATAACATAGAGCATGGGCAAAAGTACATTTACAGTTGTTCATACAGAGTATAGTACAATAATAACACAAGAATAAACTGTTTTGCCTATTCACAACTGTAAACCTACTTTTGCCCCACTTTATATGTTTAAACACATTAAATAAATATGTTCTACGTATTCATTTCTTTGTTACTTCAAAATGAAATGCTAAATCCCAGCTTTGTGATGGAGTCCGAGGTGCCCCTGTTTTGCACTCACAGCCGAGCTAAGAAAGTGGTGTGCAAAGCTAATGAGCCCTGCACAGACCCAGGGCAGAGAGGGAGGCCCGAACCACTGTCAGCCGCTGCCATCTAACAGCGGGCTGCACTGGGGGTGGCAACCTTTTGCTGTCAAGGGTCAGAGAGGAAATGTTTCAGGCTTTGGGGACCACTGTTCTCTGTAGCAATTACTCAGCTCTGCCTCTGGGCCTAAAGCAGCCACAGCTGCCATCACCCCTGTCCACTGGATCTATAAAAACACAGCGTGCCAGGCCCACCTGAGCTAGTGAGCAATCATCTGCCAAATCCTGGGCTAGATGACGGGAGTTTCAAAAAAGGAAAAAAAACAAGGTCGTTAGTGTTTGGTACACCCTGTGTCATTCCCTGCACCCGTGCCCATCTGCACCGCAGGAACGTGGTGATAATGCGGGGCCTTCAGTGTCTCCTCTGCTCCGAACACCTGGAGACAACCTGTGGTTCGCACCGAGGAGCTCTGAACTGTGGTCATGTCTCCTGGGCCCCAGGCTGAGCACCCAGAGCTGGGCAGGGCCACCAAAGGGGGTGATGGAAGGGCCCACAGGCGGGGGACACCAAACATGGGGTCTCAGGACTGGAACAGACCTGAGAGATGATCCAGACCACCCCTGTGATCGAGGCCTGAAAACCAGTCCCTAAAATCAAGGCAAAGTAGGGAGTGACCGAAGGGCCACACGTGTGGACCACAGCCTACCCCAGCTGGACGTCCTCCCTGGGTTCTCCCCAGCCCAAGCCCGAAACCCAGATTAGAGAGAAACGGATTAGGGGAAAGTAAAAAGAGAATTATGAACATCTAGAAATAATGCACTGAAGACCAATCACGTGTTACGTACTTCACATTTTATAGAGAGGCCTTTGTCACAGGGGTGTATCAGAAGTTCTGTCTGGGGAGAAATGGCTATTCTGTTAGGTCAGGTACCAGCCTGAGGCAGCCCCGGACAGACGGCTTCTTGTGCACATCATGTTGTCCTGGAGACCTGCTTGTCTCCTTGCAAGTGACTTCCTTAGTTTCTGGAGATTCACGTACAGAAACAATGTCTGAAGGAAGGAAAACCTGCCACCCTAGGGTCAACCTGGGAGCAAAACAGGCTAGTTTTGGGGAGAGGAGCATTTACATGGTGTAGCTGACTACTCTCCAAGTTTAGATTATTTCTGCACATGCGTGCAGACTACAGAATCCGAGGCGTTGACATAACCTCATGGAGCCATAACTAAGGAGCCTGCGGCACTGTGTTATCTTCCATCTTCCAAAACCGAACACCAGGGTGACGACAGAATAAAGGCAGGGCTCCACGTTTCCTGAGAAATATCAATTCTTCCGTACAATACACAGTCGAAAACATTCTAGGGATGAGTTAACATTGAATGCCTACCATATCTTCCATGGACGTCTTTCATGCTTTGGTTCTCTGAAGCGTTTGACTGAAAGAAAAGACAGACATTCAGTAGCTTTCCACAGTGATAATAAAGCAAAATGCGTGTAACAGGCTGGATTTACAACGTCAGGTTAAGGCGCTTGCTCTTTGACAAGGTACAATAACACGTGAAGGTCCCAGAGGCCCTCCTCTACTGCTGCTGACCAGTACAGACGCTTCAGAACTGGACACTTAGGAAGAACGACTCCTCACCGTGTGTGGAAAACTGCATTTTCTTTTCTCTGTGACAAGGCTCTCTCAGGTAGGGACTGAAAACCACAAGCAGGGGTGCAGCTGCTTCTCACTTCAGGATATGCTCTGCCCAACGACTAATCTGCCCACCCCCCGAAGGTTCACTGGGTGCTGCCCCCAGCCCAGCCCTGAAGAGACACAGGCAGGACAGCAGGTACATAACCACACGTGTGGCAAGTGCTAGAGAAGAGGAGTCTGAGGCGGAGTGAAGGCCTGACGGAAGGATGCCCAGCCTGCTTGCCTGGAAGAAGGGTGCCAGTCAGGAAAGGCTTCACTGATGAGGTGGAAGCTCAGATGGACCAGGGAGGGGAGAGAGCTGCAATCGGGCAGAGCACACAACGTGAGCTCACGGGTACAGCGACAATGTGGCAGAGCGTGTCTGGCAGAAGTTGACTTGGCTTTGATACAGCAGGTAACGAGGGAGACAGACTGAGCAGAGGCTACATGAGGGAGGGTCTTGAACGCCAGGGGAAGGAGTCTAGACTGAGTCCTGCAGGGGAAAAGAAGACAAAAGGTGCTAAGCAAAGTCAAAGACATGGTGTGAACTGTGTTTTAGAAAAGCGGCTCTAAATTGGGTTCCTGGGGGTGAAGAGGACTGAGAGAGGATGCCAGCTGCGTCTCAGTGCCAGGCTGTGGTACTCCCCGCGGTAGAACAGCCAGCAGCTGGGTGCTCACTCAGCAACAGTTCGACTGACCTGGGAGCCAAATGGCTTCCCAGACTGACACCTTCACCTCGGGCCTGCAGACACATCCACTAGAACAGAGGGAAGCAAAAAGCTTCCAAGCGTCCTGTCTTCCACTGACGCTCCAGGCAAACTGCTTCCACAAGGATTCTATCTACTAAAACAAACATGGGAAGTGTGCATGTGTGATGTTTTCCCACACCGAAGTACGGAGGAAGCAGCAGACAGGGATGCAAGCCCAGGGAGGATGCCATGTTCCCACCAGTGGCAAGAAAGAGTCAACTCTGGCAGAGTCCCGAGCTGCCAAAGTGTGTGTGAGAGGAGGAGAAGGCAGGTTGGGGGGGGGGGGAAACGGCGCCCACATCAACAAACCCTGCTTCTCTTAGTGAACACAGGCAGTGCGCATTCTGCAGAGCAAGGCTGTCTGCACACAGAAATGAAGTCAGTCTGGTGTTTAGAGAGATATTTTGATAGAAACCAAAATGCAAGTGGGATTGTAAGATGGTGTCATTCTGTTGACACATCACACATGCAAAACATCAACCACACTGAGGAATCTGGAACTGAGGCCAAGAGGTTCTGCTTGCACAAATGGCTCTCCGGGCAGGAGGCCTCCTTCCCATGCACCCGAGTCTCTCTGAGCGCCTGGGTCTCAGGAAGGAGACGTGGAGGATGCTGGGCCGGGATACAACCATGTGGAAGGAAAGCCCCCAGTCCGGGCTGGAGCCCTGTCACCCCATTTGTTGTTCTGCCGCAGGGGAATCTGCCCCCACCAGTGTAAAACAAAAGACATCAAAACATGTCCCAAGGAGAAGTCCCCCCTCCCTTAAGGGATACACGCTGAAGTGTCAGAATGGCCACAATTTACTGTCAAATGGTGTATGAGAAAAATTATATGAGCTATGATTCTATACAATACATATATAAATGGCATAATTATAATACATCATGTTCTATCACTTATATTAATATGATAGATACTATATAAAGAGAAGCAAATGTGGTGTTAGGGGCCAAATCGTGTCTCCCCTCCTAAGTCATATGTTGAAGTCCTAGCCCCCAGTGCCTCGGAATGTGACTGTATTTGGAGACAGCGCCTTAAAAGACGTAAGTCAGGTAAAAAGAGGTCATATAGGTCTCCTTAGTAAGAGGTGAGGACACTCGCAGAGACCGAGGGGCAGCCATGTGAGCACACCGTGAGAAGGTGGCGATCTGTAGGCCGGAGAGAGGGGAGGCCTTAGAAGGAGCCAAACCTGCCAACACCTTCTGGGAAACCCCTGACCTGGGACTTCCAGCTGCCAGAACTGTGAGAAAGTAAGTTTGCTGGGTAAGCCGTCCACTTTGTGGTATTTCGTTATGGTAGCTTTAGCGAAGTAATAAATGTGGCAACAGTAATTGGTGAACCTAAATCAAGAATATTTGTATATTCCTTAGATTATTAGACTATTTGGTAAGTCTAATACTTTTTACAATAAAATGCTAGGAGGAAAACATTCTAGAAGAATCACTAGTGCGGCCATTCGGGGGTCATCTGGCCACATCCATCACAACTGTACATGCGCAGGCCCCTTTAATCTGCCAGGTATGCGCTCCACAGGTGTTACAGCAACTTGTGCTGAGATGTACAGGGATTTTCACTGTCATGTTGCCGTAACAAAAAACCTAGGGAGAAACCAATGCCCGTCAACACACGTCACGGCACAGCACAACACGAGGTGGTCGCTAAAAGCGGGTGGATCTGTGTGGGTTGATATGGATTTCCGAGTTCCACTAACTGCACAGTGGCATGCCTACCATGAGTCTGTTCATATCCATTCTAACGGACATACATTTACGCTGGCACCATGCAGGCCTTCCCCCCCAGAAGGATACGTGAGCATCAGTAAGGACTACCTTTGATGAAAGGAATTATCAACTGGGGAGTAGACTTTTTATGCCACTGCGAATGGTTTAAAACATCCTTCCACATTCACACTGCTTTTATTTCAAAAATTAAAAAATAAAAGACAAACCTGTGTCAGGCTGGCACTAATGCAGCAGACTGGGACACACGAGAAGCAGGGTGACCCACTGCTGGGCTCTGGGCCAGTAAGGGGAAGGGGGGAGCGTGCGTGCCACGCGGGTGCGGGGAGCAGCCTCACGCAGCAGCGCGGACACGGAGCTCAGGCTGGATTCAGATTCTGCTCAAGGGCAGAAACGTGGCTCCTGCCATCTACCACCCCCTTCCCTAGAATGTGTCCGTCTTGGAATCTTTTGTTTTTAATTAAATGAAAAGGAAACATTAAAAGAGCTCCTCTACGTCTAACGTGGTAGGAGGACACCCCCAGAAAAACGCATCTGTCAGTCTAGTCATGTTTTATTACTGCAGGGCCTGCTGCCTGACAGGCCTGCCTGGCTGGAGATGGGACACACAGACTCCTCCCCTACCTCACACTCTGTTGGGGGGTGGGGAGATGGAGTGCGTCTGACTGTGACAAGTGACACTAAGGCAGGAGAGAGGAGGGCTGGGAAGTGGGGTTCGCCATTGTAGCCGGGGGACTGTGGATGAGGAGGTCCGGAAGGGGAACAAAGACCTGGGGAAGAGAAGGGGGGCGTGGGACAGGAGGTCGGGTCTCCTGGAGGCCCGGGCGAGGGCTCCCCCTTTACCTGCCGTGACCTGGGGGAGGGGGCAGGATGGCCGTGGGCCACAGCCACACAAGCTCACTGCAGCTGCTGTGCTGCGAGTAGCCTGAGGGGGTACCAGTGGCAACAGTGAGACCAGTCAGAGACCACCAAACTAACCTAGGGCAGGACAGGAGGCTGGGCCCGGCGGTCGGATCCGCTGGTATCTTGAACGCAGCACTGACAGGGTTTACCGACAGCGTGGCTGTGGGTGTGAGAGAAGACCACAGCTAGGAAAAGCTACTGCAGAGGTGGGAATACGCACTGTCCCCCTGCATTTCTTTTGTTTTGGTGGCCGTGGTGGCACTGGGGTGGAGTCAAACTGGGGAGACACAGACGTCTCTGCAGGTAAGAAACAAAACTGCTGGCTGGGGCGCCAAGCCACAAGCAGAAAGGCTCACAGAGCGGCCGGGGCCCAGCTCAGACAGCTGGGACCGACGGTGCTTCTACAGGATGGAGAGAACTCACACGGAGCTAGAGGCCAAACAAAGCGCAACCCGTCCTCTCTGACATTTACTTCTACAACTCGTCCCCTGAAGTGGGAGGCTGGCGGAGGAAGGGGCAGGCGCAGCACAAGTGCAGTCACAGGGGCACCAGAGGGGGTCCTGAGGCTGCCAGGGCAGAGCCTGAAAGGGCCCCTGATGGCAAAGGAGGTGGGAGAGTGGGGGGATGAAGGGTGGGGACAGGGAAGGGGGCCTGTGGGGGCGGCGTGCAGCACACAGCTCGTCTCACTCCATAGCGACACCAGGCACCAGCGCCTCCACTCGGAGCAGGCTGCTGGGCAGGATGACTTCACGCACACACGTCCTGAAGGCAGGCATGGGGTCCTGTCACCCCTTCAAGGGAGTGGCGTGGTCAAAAGCCAGGCAGACCTGGCTTTGGGTCCTGTCTCTGCTACTACCTAGCTGTATGTGTTAAAAAAAGAGGGGCTGGAAGTGTGCAGCTGTGACCTACCGGGCTGGCGTCAGGATTAAATGGGAGCAAACGAGTGAAGAGGGAAGCACAGAACCTGTGCTCAGGCAGGCAAACCACGCCCTGCGTCCCTGCCCTGGACCCTGCTTCCCTGTCGTCTGCATCCACTCTACTCAGTCCAGGGCTGAGAGACCCCATCCCGGTCCTGGTCTCTGAAAAGCTTGTGGCCTTGGGTCTGTCAGTTGCAACCTGATTCTCCACCCGTTCCTGTCATACCCACATGTGGCTGGGGAAAGGGGGGCTGGAATGCTAACATAATGGTTGTGGAACAAGGTTCAGAATGGATGCAGGCTGAGAAGCCCCCAAGCCCCCCACAAGCCTAGCTGGGGGGCTGGGAAAAGCAGCAGCACAACTATTGAGAATGATTTTGTGTAACAATAGCAGGCTGGCTTCATCTTAATGCTGAATAGTCTGCCTGGGCCAGGGAGATGGACAGGAC